GCGCCGCAGACACAAGGTAGTTCCACTTGACGAAGGCCTTTGGTCGGTACTGTCGAAGATAGAATTGACCAAATGCACCCAAAATGTAGTAGCTTGTGATAGAAGCGTTGAGTCCGACAAAGAGGTAGCCGAGATACCAGAGAATAATAGAGGAGTTCAAGTATGGCCAAATCTTTGACTTGGGAAAAAGCCGATGCATGATGTAGAATGGCAACGGGGCGAGGAAACCGATGAAGAAGGCGATCGTGACCCATTGGTAACGAGCTCCGATGGAAAACATCTTCGGGGCGATAGACCAAGCGATGGCCAAGGTGTTGAATTGTTGAATCTGGGCCCCGGACCAGATGTTGGTTCCTTCAGCTGACTTGAGAATGGGGGATTGGTTGTCGACGATACTAATAAAGGTCAGTGTGGGCCGAGCGTGGAGAAAGATGACAAGAGGTACCTGATCATCATCACGTAGTTAAGTAGAGCTCCAAGGATGCAGCCAATGACCTGTGTAGTGAAAGTGGCCTTGGGAGATAGCTTATTCTGTTGGGCGAGCTTGAGGTCGCGAAGCAGGAGGAAGCCCTGCGTGAGAGCGTTATAGGTATAGGATGTGAAGTACATGTTTGCTAGGATGAAGTTAGACGTGACTAGCAGAACCAGCAGTTGTGCGACTTACCCAAAGGGCGACCCGGAAACATGTAGCCTGCAAGCATCTGGAAGATAGGCTGAAGGTTGAAACCAAAGCCAGTGATGGCATATTGGGCACCAAAGAAGACCAGGAAGATACCCAACAAGATGGTTGCCAGAATGAAGCCCCACCATGGAAGTGTAGACTTCATAACGTACAAGCACACAAGGCCGATGATGAAGCTGGCAGCAAAAATGAGAAAGTACCAGCTGTTTGGAACTTCGTCGTAATCCAGCATGAGTTTGTAGTGAGGATCGATGGTCGGATCATCCCGAAGCTTGGACTTTTCCTCCTCGGTACGGCAGCCAGTCTGTCTCCAGAAATAGTAGTTGTCTGGGCGTAGCAACTTCTTGAGGTTGGCAACGGTGATCCATGCCCATCCCAAGCTGACTTCGGCATAGTTCCAGAGGAGCATGTGTACCAAAGTAGCAGTGAGACCGGCGTTCGAGGTGATGAGATAGTTGACATATGTTGCCGTCAGGTACGGGAGACCTGCCTCATCAACTGCGTTGTTGTTCACGGTGAAGTCGGGATTCATGATGGCAGTTTCGTTGTATGGGTTGGAACTGGTGGTGTTGGAACTCCCATCGTAAAGCAGTTGCGACATGAAAGGGAAATCCTTGGCTCTCCAAATGTTGCTGTAGTAGAGACCCATGGAAATGGCGATGCCTCCAAGATAACCGAGGAAGCTGTTGAACAGAGTTTGGAGTGGCATCCATAGGGGTGATCCGAAGCCGGCGATATAATTCCAATCGAAGCAGACACTCAAAAGACCCATGCCCTCATTGCCCTGCGAGCCGCCGAAAAGGTTTGTGAACACAAGGTTGTTTCGATCGATGAGGCAGAAGATGGACACGGCCGAGAGGAGCGGGAAGATATACTATTCCACATTAACCTCTGTTAACATAAGTTTTAACGGGTGACTATACCTCGGGGAACCATTCCCAGACGAAAATGGCCACAAAAATGATCCAAAAGACTTGGAATCTTTTCCTGGTCTCTGACTTGGGCTTGTGTAGGGTCTCCATGACTGTCGTAATGGGAAGATTGGCAGGATACAACATCTTGGTCGGGTAGAGAAGAACAGTCCTCATCATGCCCGCAATCCCATACCCGATTAGTTGAGAAGAGAGGGTAATGAAGATGCCTGCAGCCTGGTTGGGGTAACCTCCATACCACAGCTTCTGGACCGACAAAGCCTCAGTCGACAGGGCCGAGACGGACGCAGCCGATGCCATAAGAACGGCGGCAGTGTGCTCCTTTCGGTTCCAGGGGTGTGGGTTAAGAAAGCGTCCGATGGCTCCCTTTCTGGGGATGATATGTGCTAGACCCGTTCCGAGGGTCTCGGCGAGGACGGTCAAGAACATGACGGACACGTATACGACCTGGGGTTTGAAGTACATGATTTCCTGCAAGACGCCTCCAAAGGCAGACAATCCGACGCCTTGTGTCGTTAGTTTATCTTTGTTCGACAACCGTCATGAGTGAGCTTTGACTTGCCTACAATAAACATGCGCGCTGTCCATGGGTTCATCGAAGGATCATCATCAACTTGGATAACATGTGTGACGATGTCTTCGGCAGTCTCGAGGGGCTTGACACTGCCTGTGGATACAGTCTCCAGGTCAGTGAGCCCCTCTTCGTTAACGAGAACTGCCTTGTTGTCGCCCACTCGGGGCCCATCCTCGTTGGACGATGAGTTCTCCATTGCGCCGTATATTTTTTCCGCGTCGGTTGACATTTCAGAAGAGGTAGATATGGGACAAGGATCTTGTTGTGACGGTTGGTGACCCCTATGAAGCCATGAAGAAGAATCCCACTTGCTTAAATAAAACAATCATCACGACGATCTGGAAGGACACTCGGATCTCGGCCATCACCAAAGGTCAGACCAGTGATTCTGCAAAGAACCTCATGATCCTTTACGATCTTGACCATCCAAAAGTTCCGGGTTGACGGCACGTTATCAGTCTGAGGATAGTGTCAAGTGGCAACACGATGCTTCTGGATCGGGAGAAGCGATGGCGCTTTCAAAAGGACCGATGGATGTAAATAAGTTCCAGAACAACGCAGCCAATCGTTTTTAACGGTGGATCATCATTGTTTCTCATGATGGCGAGCTTGTTCATTCAGTTCCAGTCTTATCACCTTGACCCTCCCGATCGAGAGGTGATCCAACCCGAGGAGCTCAGAGTCGAGCAATGGTCTGTAATCACTTACATATTTCCGGACGTCTGGGGTTCCCCAATAGCTACAGTCCGGTGACATGCTATGGCAGTAAACCTGATGGTGCGACATGCCATCACTTCTTCCCGAAAACAAAAGGACCTTGGCTCGAGTTGGCGATTTGGCCTGCCAAGCCTGGCTAGGTCGATGGGTACGGCTAGATAACAGACCCCGGCGCTATGGTGTGTTGGGAAGTTTGCCCCAGCCTGTCAACTTGACGTGGGTGGAACCGGCGCCGACTTAGCCGGCATGCCGAGTGCCGGATGATCCTTCCCGCCTCTAAAGCGAGACTAGAATCTCGAGGAAGTGCCTGCTAAGCTGTCATTTTGGGTAATTGCTTCTTTCAGGGGCATCATCAATGGTGAGAAAAATAACAACTAGTTGTCACGAAGACTACAATTGTGATGGGCATTTATTCAGGTTGAAATATTCAATTCCCAAGCCCAAGCTCAAATACCTTTACTGCATTGTTTATCTTGGTTTAATACGTTAAAGAACTGCGTGCACAGTCGGGGACACCACGAGGACCCATTTCCAGCTTTCCACTATCAGTAGTTGGTTACGGGATCGACTTATCGGCTGTGGACCCTTGCTCCTAGGAACTTCTGTCAAGGTGAAGCAATGCTGCAACGTGACGTTGGGTTTGGGTGCCGATTTACCGGTTTATGGTCTTTCTGGGGTATTTGAACTTTTGTCCTGGCCCAAATAGGAAGCCGTACGGTTGCGGCATTGTTTCGCTCTCATCTCAGTTGAGGATTGATAATAATGTTGTCACAGTCGTCGTCAAAGGCGTCTCCAACAGCGGCCATCAACCAGAAAATCAAGACATACAGTTATCTAGAGCTGACGTATGGCTCACTCATGTGTAAATGAATGATCAATTATCCGCTTTTTGATAAACAATTTAAAACAGATCTTATCTAGCGATACTATTGACTTATCTACTCTGTATATTAGTCGCGCATTTTGGGTCTAGGTTCGCGTGTCTTCCATGTATAGCCACGGGTTTTGACCAACTATTTCTTGATAAAAACACATTGAAAAAAAGTCATAACGACGGCGGCAAGAGACTTTACAATCTATGTCATAGATTCAAAGCTTATCCACGAGCTGCTTCACCGGCCCGAGAGCACCAAATCATGATCTTGAATGGAATATCTCAAGTGCTGGAGTGTTATGCATTTCTGATCCGTGGATAATGTTCCCTGAATCTCTGGATCCTAGACCACTACTTTCTGGACTCTGCGCTATAAACAATGACCACAATGGGTGTCGTCCAGCTCTAGACTGATATCCATTGCGTTGTCCAGGACGATGAATCACAAGAATACGCTGAAATGGCCCAAGTGAGTGGCATTTATGCCAATGTTTGTGTAGATAGTATGGTAGTTCAAGGAGACCATGCTATTAGCAGCTGGAGAGTTTCCAGGGTTTATGAGAACCAAGGAACTTGCGCTAGAGCGTCCACTGTCCACTGCCTAGAACGAGAGTGGTTGTTACTCAGGATCCCATTACATCGAGATTTGTTGGATAGGGCGTCAGATCACCCGTATGGACGAACAGGGGGAGCACCTACCAAGAGAACCTCTTCTCGAGGGGGCGGCTTGATACGTGAGGGGCGCAGGTGACCCTCACCCGCCTTTGCGAGCCTTACAATTGCACCTACTGTAGCTGGCTTCTTCATCATGACCACAAATGCACCACTTTCTGGCCTTGGGCCTTCATCCCGCACCACGATTGGTCTTACGGCTGGTGTGAGCACCTGACTTCACAAATCCTGGAGGCAACACCCAAGTCACCACACCCTAGATCTTGACCTAAGTCTGTTTTCAGGCATGAAACACATTCAGGCTATGTCTTCTGATCTCCAAACCAGCTTCTGCGTCCAGAATACACGAGTCCTGGCATCGTGGCGCTATATGCCTCGTTGAAGTGGAGCTTTTCCAAGCAAGAATTCTCCCTTCGGCACAATAACCAAACTTGGGTCAGCTCAATACGACTTCATGATGGCCTAGACAGATCCTGTACGATTCTGCACGCTTCAGGCGAACTTATGTCCTTTTCAATAGCCTTTAATCACCAGTATACAAGAATGTTTCTAGACCTCAGCAGTACGCAGCCTTTCCTGCCGGTGAAGTTGCCTCTCAGGTCGCGTCCCACTCTTCGAAATCGACTTTGTCCTAGCCCCTCTACTCAGATGCCTCCCATCGTCACTGTTTCGAATATAGTAGGCCAACTCAGCCGTTGGGTCCCACTCTGTCTGTGACAAGCCGTTGCCCATCCAGGCAAATCGATTGCCACAAAAGTCGAACTCGTAATCCTCGAAGCGAGGCTCACGCAAAGCCTCCAGGTAGTGAAGAGTCGATCCAGGCCACGTGATGGAAGCCTGACCCCAGTTGGCATGAATGTTATGAGAGTTGTGGCAGTTGTCCGACCAGACCATCCTCTTTGTAGCCTGGGCCACGTAGGTCTTGAAATCATAGCATGCGGCGGCTTTTAGCCTCATGCTATGAATTCCAGGTTCTGTCTGATACTTGTCGATAAAGGTGCAGATGAAATCAGCCTGTGATTCAAGGGCAACAATTACTGGGCCATTGGAGATTGGAGTCCAAGGCCCAGCGAGAGTGAATGAGTTTGGACATTCAGATATTCCAACGCCCATGTAGCCAGTGATGGAGGCACTCCAATCGTCCTGGAGGTTGTGTCCGTTGAAGAGTATGGGATAACGAGGGATAAACGACATGTCGAATCCCGTAGCACAGATGAGCACACCACCCTGATGAGACTGCTCATCCGCACTGATGCAGCCGGTCTCAGTGAAGCGTCTGACTCCTGAGCAGACAACCTCCACATTACCCTCATTGATAGCCTGTAGCGCTTAATCAGTTCACATCTTGACCATGAATGAGCCCAGTTTTAACTTGGGGTTACGACTGACATGTAGGAACCGATCCCCTGATGGTAAAATCCTCTTGCATCCAACAGCAAAGTCGGGCACTAGCTTCCTTTGCAAGTCGGGGTCTGGAATGATCTTCTTCATCTCAGTTTCCAAGTGTTGTCTTGCTTGGGATTGCAAAACGGTGTCTTTCATGTACATGGCTAAAAAGTGTTATTGTTACTCCAGGACAATATGGTACAGGCCTCTGCACTTACTAAAGAAGCTGTTCAAGGTCCTCTCATTCTCTAGTCGGAGATTCAGGACGGCCTCTGGATCGTTGACGAGTCTATGTCTCTCCTCCTCGGAAAATTTGCCATGTTTGGAGCTCACGGATGGCAATGACCATCGCGGGGTTCGGACAAAAACTTTCACAGTCTTGACGATTGGCTGGATGGCTGGGAGAATCTGGGCGCTGGATGCGCCCGACCCTACTAAGAGAACATCCTTGCCTTCAAGTGAGACGTTGTCATCCCATTGCGCACTATGAAGCTTCGGCCCTCGAAAAGTCTCGATACCCGGGGCTTTAGGCCACATGGGCTTGTTCAGGTAGCCTGTAGCATGAACCAACAGGTGACACCAATCATGCACTGTTTCTCCAGACCGTAAGTCGGTAGAAGAAACCACCCACTTGCCTTTCTGCGGATCCCATGAGGTCTCTGAGACCTTGTATGAGGTTCGGATTTGATGTCGCAGGTCGTGCTTGTCGGCAAACGTCTCTAGGTAGTCTTTGATTTCGCTAAAGCTCGCTAGGACTCCCGAGAAGTCCGATTTAGGCTCAAAGGAGTATGTGTAGTTGTGTGAAGGAACGTCGCACGCACAGCCGGGGTATGTGTTCTCGAACCACGTTCCCCCAACACCGTCGTTCTTTTCGTAAATCTGGATTTCTTTATTAGCATTCAAACACTCATAACGTTTTTGCAAAAGTGTTTACAGTTAGGGCATAGTTCTGGAAAGATCGTTTTAATTTGTATGCCAGACACAGGCCAGAGAATCCGGCGCCGACGCAAATGATCTTGACGAAACGTTCATTGTGAATAGCGTCCTTTCGAAGGGGGTCCATGTCGCGCAATAACTGATGAAAGATGGATAGATGAAGAGATGAGTGGATGAAGAGATGAGTGGATGAAGAGATGAGTAGATGATAGGATTGAGCGCGGTACGTAGCGAGGCTGCTCGCAAGTGGCTCCACTGCTAAAGAGACTTCCGTCTTTGACAGAGATTTGTACACGATCAGAGACTCCAAACAACTGCCCTATATCTGGTATCTGCCTGCGGATTAAGGTTAAATGCATCGAACCATTGCACATGTACCAGCGTAGAATCAGATCACCAGGAGCAAGGGTCTCGAATCTTGGCCCCTGGCTTAGCTAGAGCCGGATATCATACGTAATCGTATGGATTTGAATCTGTTGGTGAAATGCCCTGCAGTAGTCTCAGAGAGCTAGTTACAACCTGCTCGGTGATCTCATTTGAGTTAGAAAAGAAAGCCAATAAAGACAGGGACTCACGATACTACATTCCTAAAAGACCTTCCTCTGCATTCGGCGACCCCGTCGCAAAGGTCCCGTTGAGCTTTACCCGCCAAAAAATGGTCGTAGCGGCTCTGGAGGATACCCTGGTACTTCTCAAACCAACGCACGCCCACCGTCACTTGGAGTTGCATTGCAGAAGCTTTTGTCTTTCTGCTATTGGTGTAAGAAAGACAGACCCTGCGGCTCAAGGGCTGCAAAACTCTAAACCCTGGTTCTGAATCCGCAAAAAGTTGTGGACTGATATCCGCGAGTCACATCACATCGAAAGCTCTGCAACGAGAAGGTACATGTATGAGATGAGACCACCTGAATTCAACAACATTACAACGCGGGCCAAGTGAGACTAACTGTAAATTCGATCAAACAGACTTGGTTGACCAGGCTGGTTATGCTGATGGTCACTCAAACATGGCCTGCTGTTGTTGTACCTTGCTTCAAGCACCAGTCTCCACGTCATTCGACCATTGTGACAACTTTGCAGTTTGAGTAAACATGATGAGCCGAACTTATTTCACCCTACCAACGGGGATCAGTATGCCTGTACGTCCCCTCCCGCCCCTCGATATCTATACGTTGATGCACTAGAATGCCACTAAGAAACTTTGGATGCCTCGGGGGTGTTTCAGAACCCGTCGGTTTCCTCACGATTTCCTCTTGGCTATCCGATCTGGGCCCCAGTCTGCCTGCTGAGCACGGCACACGTGGATTGGAACTGTCGGCGGCGGCCCTTGACGCTAGTTCATGACCCTCGTCTCGGTTCTGGTAATAGTAGTCCCGGGTGTGGCCGTTGGAGAAGCCGGCGCTGGAGGTGGCGTAGCTAACTTGGGACCAGAAGCGGCGTTTGAAAAGAGGCGTAACCATGGGTGCCTGACCTACAAAGATGCCAACGCAATCCTCACGCATCGACCATAGTGCCGAGACGCCGCGCTGGTTAAGCTGTACCCCAGACGTTAATGAGCATCTCACGACAGCATGATCGATAGTTGCACTCACATTAAAGATTAGAACGAACCGAAGGATTGCGGCAAACATACAAAAGAAGCCCAGGCTGAATAGGAAGTACAGCCCGCATTTCTTCCAACGGTTGATCTGAATTCCCCTGAGCACCTGCACGCAACCATTGTGAGTTGGAGGGCTTCGACCAAGGTCTCTGAGGAACATACCGGGATAGGGACAAGCATGACGCAAACATCCGTCACGAGATTAAAGGTTAATATGACGACAAAGAAGACTAAATTCTGTGGTTCACATTGACCTGCGAAGACCAGTATTAGTATAGGCTAGAAAGGCACAGGAATGGATTTGACCGTACGTCCTGGATCAGGCCAAACCTGCCAGAGATGATGAAATGGACGACATGTAAGAGCAATGGTGAGAATAATTGCAACTCCTGACAAAGCCACGAATACCATCAGTGGCTTGATAAATATCTCGGTCCATAGGCCACGGACGACTCGGTGATAGAAACAGAGCATGTTGAACTTGAGTGTCCAAAGGATGAAGAAGTATCCAGTGAGGCCCAGAAGAAACATTTGGGACCCAAAAGCCCAGTCCTTACGCTCAGATTCGCTCAGATTCTTTCGCTCCTGAAAGGTTAGGTCCGAGGTGTGCCGCCCTTCAGCAACCTGGACAAAAACGTGGCCAATGACAGGCGCTGCTGTCCACATGAACTGCAGATATTGCAACATCAGAGATCGAGTACGGCGCAAAGGAAACGGTTCAGAGCTTACTGCGACACCTATGACAAAATAATCATCCCACTCGTAGTTTTTGTACCCAACCATTTTGGTACGGCAGAAGATGCGCGCGGCTATCATGAGGACGCCAAGCACGTAAAGAATCCATATTTCAGCAATTTGGCCAGCAAGAGCCATGTTTGAAGCAAAGGGAGGATTGTAGATGGAGGAAGCACAATCGAACTGTCAAGCAGGGCAGGGCACTGGCTCTTTTTCTTTTCTCACGACGGCTGGGACGATCTTAGCAATCATGAATGGCTTCCTCTTGCCAGAGGGGGGGCGTTACATGGACGTCTTTCCATGTGTATACATTGGGTGATATGCCCGAGACTTGGAGTTTCAAGGTCCAGTTTCGGCCTTCCCTTTCAGATTATCACATGTATGAAGGGACCGTTTGTAAATGGTTACAACCCCTGAGGGTACCACCGTTTGTGTGCCGTTGATACAACGGTTGTAGCCATAGCCAAGCTCACAAAGGAGCCACAATATAAGGTTTGCTTGTGTGAACTGCACAAACTCGCATGATGTTCATGGCCATTTAGAGATTTAACTTTTGGCGTCATGATCCACTCGATGTAACCGTACTGGTAGATGAATCAGTTTTACATCAATGATCTGCTCGGGAATATGCTCGTGTAAGGTGCTGAATTGACAGATCCGGTTGCAAAACCCGAGCCACGGGGTACCGGAAATGTGCCCGGCAAGGAGATCATGACAGGGCAGGGGACACATATGCAGGGGCGAGTCGTGTACGATCATTATGAACTCGGCAAAATGCGAGTCGAGACACGAGTTATCACAATGTGGGAATGGGGGTCACGGAGGGAGGGTCACCATTTACTGGATTGGGATGCTCTCTATCACTAGGCCAGGCCGTCAGTCCCTCCTGAATTCGTTTCAAATTTGCAAATTTAGATACTCATGTGATCTATCACTATCCGCAACTTGCCCAAACGGTCATCTGCCAAACTTATCACTTGTATCTATTTCTCACCAGATACGCGCGTCTCCTGAAGCGCTGGTGGTTTGATAATCCGGTGAACGCTCCAAACGGATGGCATCTCTTGTACAGATCTGCCCTTAGCCTGCTGTATATAGACCGCGACAGTTCCAGTGCAGGATCTCGTCATTCCAACAGTGCCCATCAACACAGCCAGTAGCATGCCTGCGTCAATTCGAGTTGCCGTCACCCAGGTAGAGCCTGTCTACCTTGATTTGGCCGCTTCCGTCCAAAAAGCAGTCGCTCTCATTCAGGAAGCTGCAGAACATGGAGCCAAACTCATCGCGTTCCCCGAGTGCTGGCTCCCTGGCTATCCCGCATGGATCTGGTAAGCAGTCACTAATCTCTGCGCTGCCCGTGGTTAATATCCATGACTCCTAATAGGGCGCGACCGGTCGACTTCGATCTTCAGACTCGATACATCTACAATTCACTGTCTTTGGATTCCGAAGTAATGGACTTACTGAAGGTCACTGCCAAGGAATACTCCATTGCCATCGTGCTCGGGTTTTCAGAGCAAAGTCGAACTTATAGCATCTACATCTCCCAGGCGATTCTATCTCCTCAGGGCGAGGTTTTAATGCATCGACGGAAAATCAAGCCCACTCACATGGAGCGAACCCTCTTCGGTGACGGGTCCGATGCTAGTCACGTCCTGAATAACGTCGTTGAGATTGACTTTGGACCAGACTATGGCAAGATCAAGGTTGGATGCCTTGCCTGCTGGGAGCACACACAGCCGCTATTGAAATATCATAGCATCTCCCAGGGGGAGGCTATACATATCTCGATGTGGCCGCCTGTTGATCCATCGACTGGCGTGGACCACCCGGGCCTATGGAGTATGACGGCTGATGGGTGTCAAACACTTTCTCAAACTTACGCGATCGAAAGTTCAGCCTACGTTCTTCATAGTACCTCAGTATGTGGACCCAGAGGAATTGAAACCATGAAGACACAGGAAGGCCTCTCTTGCCGGCAGCCTGGTGGCGGCCATAGTTGCGTAATCGGACCTGATGGCCGACGGTTGACCAATCCCCTTGAAGGGAGCCCAGGAAAGGAGGGTGTTGTTTACGCCGATCTTGACCTCACTAAAGTTGTGGGTTCCTGGATATCGTTGGGCATTACAGCAGGCCGGATCTGCTGTGGTTGGGTGTCGATAGACAGCACAAGGGAAATGTCATTACAAAGCGGCATGTGCCAGATGAACAGGAGGACTTGGAGAACTGACTGGTGGAGAGATGGCCCAATATTCCGTACCTAGTTATGCATAAAGAGTAGTGAAAAAGTTGGAAATCCTTGCTGAGTCTAACCCGAGTTCCTCACCGTAAATGTTGATCCGTGTGGGGCTTCTTATTAAAAGATCAAGCCTGGTAATATCACCAGAGCATACTGTGGCGCGAATGGGGTGCCCGGGCTGTCCCGCTCATTCCCTGTTTTAGTCACACCTTTCTTCAGCCCACGTCGGTTTGCCCGGGCTGTCTTGGAAATGGTAAAAGAATGGCAACACTGACGCTCGCAGGGACGGACGGCAATGCCGTGTCCTGTCCCACGTGGCATCATGGTTCTTGTTCCTTCATGAGGTTGTAATAGTATAAGAGCGATGTTTGTTGCGTGTAGAGGAAGGCAACCCACATCATTTACGATTCCCGCGCATTTCTACAACGCAATATGGCCCCCATCAGCAGTGTCCCAGAACAAGCCAAGCCGTGGCCACTGGCCAAAGCGGCAACCCAGGGTATCTTTGACCCTCATCAACAATACTGGTACCTGACAGTCGGGCATGCTTTAACAGAGTTCCTGGTGAAGGCTGGTTACACCCATGAAGACCAAGTCAACATTCTTCATCACTTTACCAAAATGGTCATACCATACCTAGGAGTCTCACCCATCTCCGGACTGCCGCGCTGGAAGAGCTTTATGACAGACAACCATACACCCATCGAACTAAGCTGGGACTTTCATACAAGCATAGAACAACCTATAATTCGCTATTCCATCGAGCCTATCGGGCTTGATGCCGGCACACCGGTTGACCCGAATAATGACAGAGCTTCGGCAGACTTCAAGCAAAGCTTGAGACAGGCTTTTCCAAACGTCAACAGCCCCTTGTTCGATCACTTTGAAGCTGCCTTCCCAACCAAAGGATATGCCAAGAGCGGCCAAGAAGATCACCCCTCATCCATGTTCTGGGCCTTTGACCTCAAAAAGGGAGAGATCGTGAACAAAGTCTACTTCTTCCCTGGCTCAGTGACATGCACAGCCAATCAGCCGGAGTTGATGGTCATCTCAGATGCCATCAAGTCAGCCCCTGGGTGGGAATCGGAAAGTCTTGGCTCTTTCGACACCTTTGTCGACTACGTGGACCAACACTCAGACTCGGGGTTCGAAGTAGACATGTTGGCGCTGGACCTGGTTCCCAGCGAAAGTTCCAGAATCAAGATCTACTTTCGAGACAGAAGAACGAACTTCCAGGCAGTCAAAGACACGATGTCCCTGGGAGGACGGTTGCCTTGCTCTAGCCCAGACGTTGAGGAGGGCATGCAAAAGTTAAGGCGACTATGGAACACCTTGCTTGGCACAGGCAATGCCGCCGACGACATCTCTCTCCCGTATAAAGACCATAGAACAGCCGGTATTCTTTATAATGTCGAAATTCGTCGACATAATGAGATGCCCAAGGTCAAGGTCTATATCCCTGTCCGCCATTATGCCAAGAATGACCAGCATATTGCTAAGGCTCTGGCGGGCTTTTTATCTGAGGAGGCTAGAAAACAGCAAGACTATGAGAACTTACCGGCTTACGGAACGCTTTACTTGGAGTGTCTACGAAATACATTGCAAGTTAAAAGCGATGTCCCCTATCAACAATACAACAACTAACTTGTGTATCAGTGGTTTTGAGGCTCTTGCTAGCTCTCTTGGTCTTCACACCTATATTGGTTGCTCTCTCGAGCCCGGCGGAACATTGCGTGTTGTTTCCTACATCAACCCCTATCCGGCAAGCAGGGGTTAAATATCAGTGTTCTTCGAAGCGGAGTGGTGGCGCTTGTGATCAAGTATGGCTGAAAATGTCGATGAGAGCTTGCCTGCTTAACTAAAGAAACTACCTTAAAAGAGGCAGTTCAAAACATGGTTAGCTTTGTAATATACTTATGAAATAGAGAGGTAAATAAGAACAGATATCGCTTCGTGAGCATTGACAATATTTGGCATTGAACGGAGATTGAGGGTGTTGGGATTTCCCTCTCGCAAGACGCAAGATAAAAGACGTGTATTGAATCACACATGCCTGAGACATGTCATGTGTAAGCAGAGTCCCCTGAAACCTCATAGCAACTACAGAAGGTCATTTGTTTCGCGGCACTGGGTTTTAATCCTTGTACGTAACAGCACATGTTTTCTTGATTCTTGAGCCAAGTGGGCTAGTTGGGAGATATCATCAAGATTAACAACAATGTGCCTCTGCTGCACAGGGGCCAAAATTAGTCCAGATAGCCGGCGACCCCCCTTGTGTGGCCATTTTTCTTTATCTGGTCAATATACTCCCCAAGTCTCACCACTTTGATCTCACCAGGCTTTGGTCTTAACGGAGCATCTTTCCAGTCCGTGATGTGCTGTCATCCCGAGCCCCCTCGTGAAACCATTCGACGTCCCAAAACCTACATACTATTAAAAACTGTCCCTACGATGTCCAAGATGAACGACCCAGTTGCAGCATCTGCTCGGGTGGTTAGTCCTTGCGATAAATACCAAGCTCCTCGTGGTCTTTACTTATGAAAAGGTACACAAGATTTAGGTTAAGATAATTTAAAATATTAAAGATATTAGAAAACAAATATAAGCTTATAATTAGTTTTTAGATCCATCAATAATATCTTTTTTTTACATAATTTATTATAGTTTTTCTTATTTCTTTATTGTGATAAGAGACTAAGCAATCTAATATAAGTATACTACTTTCATTCTCGACAGTACTTATCAAGAATTTATTCTGTAAATGTCAATTAGTTATGCTCTCCGAAGTAGATTCTTAATACTGGGGAAAATTTACCAAGACCCGCAGACGCATCCATGCGTACGTGTTACCGCCGACCTGAAAGCGATTCCTCATTACTGATCGTCATTAACTTGGATAATTCCTGCTAACCTTGGCAACCCGCCCCGTTGCCAAGAAGCCGCGTAAGTGCTGACGAGTGCGCAGTGGGACAGACCAGGTCTTAACATTGTAGGGTGCAGTACTCAGTAGGAGCACTCTTTTAAAAATAGAAAAAGCGAGCTCTGAAACAGCCAAGCCAAGCCTTTCAGCCCCTCTGTACCACACCCTAAATGGCGGTTTCGTTGAGCGGAGAGTGGTTGAGCTCGTGCCAAGATCAAGCCAAGATTAAGCCAAGACCAAAGCTCGAAGCGATCCTCACGTGCTGCTTCAGCCTTCGATTTGGCTTTTGACAGCTGAACAAAGACACGTGCTGCAATGATTGGGAAATGTCTCGCACCCTGTTGATCGTAACCGGGAGTGATGCAGGTCGGTAGATGATCTGTTGAACAATACCGGATGCTTGACTCGGCATCCCGTGACATCAATAGAACAACTCAGTCGGGAAGTGATAGGACAACCAAATGCAATGTACGTTTACAGGGTCCAAGCAACAGGGCTATCAAGTATTATCACTCTTGGATGACATCTATCCCGTTAACAATCTGAAGGATAACTAGAGGAAGGCATAGAGCCCTTCCAGCCGTGTCAATGAATGCCATTAAAACAAAAATAACATCAATCACACCATCAATCAATCACACGCACTAGATGAGAAACTAAGTGTGGCGCAGAAAATCATGAGACAGCTTAATGTGTCTTTATTCCCAGCAACCGCCGGCCCTCGAAACAGTCCCATATGGGTGGCGGAGCAGCAAACTATCCACCCAGGAGACTGGACGACAGCAAGCCACGGGCATCATTGATGAGTAGAGCCTGTATTTGGGAGCCCCTCATTCCTGCTTCAAACCACCTTCTACCGATATCTTGCCAAGGGGGAGGCTGAGCTTTAGGAACTGGTCCTGGTTGAGCCTTGCAAATGACAAGGTGGGAGAACCTGATCAAAGCAGCGACGCGTCACTTCTCTTGAACAGCGCATAGCAGGATTCTCGTATCTTGGGGTGGCTTTTTCTTGGCTTGCAAATTGCGGAGTTTCAATGGTGATGTTGACGTCGTTGGAGTTCAGCTACCAGACACATGGCGATGGCCAGCAGTTTGCCACGAGACGGAGCCAACCATCAGGTGCTGGTAGAGAGAGGTTAGAAAAGTATAAGGTCTGCTTGATGGGCTGTCCCTGATAACGGAATCAAACAACCAAATATCCCAAGCATTCTTGGAACGATCAACAACTTCTCAACGTCTTTGCCAAACAACCTTCGCTACTCTAACTTGATAACCTCCTCCTCCAACAATGAAGACCACACCTCTTGTTCTCCTCTCTCTTGGGGTTCTTTCCAGCGCCGGGCCTGTCCCCGAGGGCATTCATCCTGTCCGTGAGGTAGCAGCAGTCGACACTCATGGTCTCGCCCGTGCCAATGGTCATGACTCGGCAAGCTCCCATCGCAAGGGTAAATCCCTGGGTGCTCGGAACCGCCGTACCAGACGCGGCCAGCGTCAGTTTCGCCGCGATGATAACTGGACTGACGATGACGATGCCACCGACGATGAGCAGCCTACCCCTGTTCCGGCTCCAGCTCCGGCTCCGGCTCCGACTCTGAGCCATCCCCACGAAGAGCAGCACTGGACCGACGACGATGGCCATTACACCAGCTGTGACGAGTTCCCGGACAATGAGAAATGCTCTAGGCTTCCTCGTGCCCACACTACTCAGACCCCAGCGTCGGTTGCTACGACGAGCGTGAATACTTCTCAGCCGACTACAAAGCCTCTTGGTCATGGAGACGACACTGACAATCCTGACTGGAAGACCGACTGTGACTCGGACTGGACTGATGACGGGGAGCATGAGCGATGCAAGAGCAAGACAAAGATCGCTCCCACTACTACTGCTGTGAAGAAGACCCCTTCTTCTACTGCTGTCCACGTCACGACTGCTCGATCTCCCGATGACGACACCGATAATCCAGATTATCTGACCGACTGCGACTCGGACTGGACCGACGATGGCGAGCACGAGCGCTGCAGGGCCAGAAACAAGACCCTGGGCGCCAACCCAACCAAGGTCTTGACTAGAGTACAGGCCCCAGGTACCACGGTTTCTGCGGCTGCAAGTCTTCCAACTGAAGATACCGACACTGATAACCCGGATTATCTCACCGACTGCGATTCGGACTGGACCGATGACGGAGAGCGGGAGCGCTGCAGAACCAGAGTTGTGTCAGTTACCCCTACTGCCACTGGCTCTCCTACTGCCCCCGACAATGAGCCTGTAGAGATCACCAATGGGGCAGCCGGCCATCCTGAGGGCGCCAAGCATGCTGTTGCCATGGCTGGCCTCGTTGCTGCCGTTGCTTTTGTTCTGTGATTTGGTACGATTCCATTTGTGGTTTGGCAACTTCAAGGTTCTACATACGGTATTCCTTCTAAACAACAGTCTTTACAGTAAAGATATGACCTGGATGCAGGATGATGGGGTTTCATTTTTGTCCCTCAGTCTGAAAGGCGGCAACCAAATTGTCAACTGTAGGCTGCAACGTCAGCGCGACTGTTTCATGTATGTTTGTTTTTGGGCAATGCTGTGGTTTCTGCTATGATCGAACGATTGTTTATCTCAGTTAACTTTCTTTAATATGACTCTTCTCTATCTCTTGTGGCTTCGGCGTCTAATTACCCACAGACAATATCAGAGACACAGCCATAATCCCAAAAATGGCTAGCGATTCGATAATTGCCCAGGCGAAAAGTACTGTTCTGAAAATGACATTTTTCTTCAGCAGCATTTCCTTATATGCCCTCCAGAAAGCAGTGCATGTCGTCAAAATGGGCAGTTCTCCGGGGTGATGGTGCCCAGGTGGCCGACACACGTGGGTACGGCCAATGGCTTCACGGCCCACCCTCCGAGGGAACGAGATTTAAGAATTAGCTAGCCATAGTTAAGCGCCCAGGGTAAGGTGACAGAGGTACTATCGATAGGATCAAACAGAAATGAACAAGAGATCTGCCTTTAACAGTGAAGGCGTGACTCTGAGAGGATAAATACCCGCAAGATAGGGGAACTTAAGGACTTTTCGTAATAAGAAAAAACTATTAATATTATGAACTCTGTTACACCTTTCTTACTTTTACTAATGTTTAATGTTATTCAGATATTTGTCTAAAGCTCTCGACATATTTTTCGCCCCCCCCCCCCCCTCGCTTGACTCCGCGCTGCACCGTGTTCTATTTCCCCTGTCGTTATGGGACAACGCGACGCGTCCTTGTTCTTAATGTTGACTGTTTTACCTCCTTCTCTCATAGGCGCTAGCCTATTATCTTTCTAGTTTTTTTTTTTCTGATGACATCGCTGTCAGCCACATAAGCAAAGGACACACTTGAAGACACACGGCAATATCAAAACCCAATACTGCAAAACACCGTAAACCTAAGTTAAGGTTCTATAGCCATAGAAACCTAGTAGCTGGAAGATGAGCCTCGCAGTGCAAGATGCCACCTTTCCCTATTATCTTTCATTGCAGATACTCCCCAACTATTATTGGGTACACTTAAGGTCGCCGTAATGAGCGGAGCACATTCCCAGCAGCTCCAGGTACCCAACTTTGACCACATGGTACAGCATCTTCAAAATTTTACCAATGAGTTTCAACATTGTCGTAATATCCCTGCTATCGAGTCTGACACCACGCTTTTGGATGACGTCAATTAGCTGAGGACTCAGATGAGCTAGGTGTCTACCCAGCTCTCTGCCTAGATCAGCGAGGTCAAACGTAAGTGGGAGGCGTCAAGCGTCAAGTTGACGACATCACACGGGACTTGGATGATCTAGGCCGCGAAATCATGAACTCATGAGTACTGTTTGCAATACAACCTGAGCACTCCCCGAACAACAGCTTTTCCATAGCGACCGCAACATAGTTCGACTGCGAAACAACGGCAAAATCGACCAAAATGCAGCCATCACACCGCTCGTAAATGTCGCGACGGGCGAGGAGATTATTAGATTCTCTGCGACATTCAGCAACTTTGATGACTTGCGTGGTAAGTAGTACCAGACACACTCACCAGTCCTTGAGCATACGACGCTGGGACTCTCACCTCGGCTACTGACATAGTCCGGATCCTTGGGGAGTTGGGGCTGCCGGCTGATAAGACGGCGAGGGTGAACAAGAAAAGGTATATGGGGCTATTGACATTATGACCCAATCACTACAGGGGCAGCAGGATCCTCATCTCGGAAGGGAAAAGCTGGAAATGAAGGTTTATCTAGGCTGAATATGAACTTAGAAGGAACGTTCTGCCGAGAGCAGCCTCACCATATCCAACGAGTGAGACTTTTCCCAGATCAACCCGGCCGGTTGAACAACCCTCACTCCTAAAGAGAAACTGAAGACAAATTAGGCTCTTGTATATGTCTCAAGCCCACAGAGGTGTAAATGTCAATTCCAAAACTAAAATCCCCGAACAAAGTTTATACATGGGTAATAAGAGTTAAACTCTTGATGAATTTAATAAGCGCAACGAGCCAAAAACAAAGACTCAAATCTGGAAAGCTCCCAGAGTAAGAGAGGATAACAGCAAAGCGCCAATAGCGAGGCCCATCTTGCTAATCGACGGAGGGGCCACTGCAGGAGCAGCGTTGTCGGTGTTGGTAGAATCGGCGCTCGAAGCAGATGTGGTACCGGAGCTGTGGCTGTCCGTATCCCCGTCGTCGTCGTCGTCATCATCGTCCTTGTCATTCGAGATAACAGTGGCCTTGGCAGTCGCAGGAATCTTGGGGTCGGCAGTGAGGGAAGTGCCCGTCGTGTTGGAGCAAAAGGGGTCCTCCCAAGCAGCGCCCTGGTCCCACATGCACTTCTGCAGCTCAGCGGTGGTCTGGCCAAGGGCGACGCAATAAAGACCACAGTTATCGAAGTAGCTGACAATCTGGGCATCGCCGCAGCATTCCTTCATGATCTGAATGTTCTTCTTGCTGTAGGCCAAACCGCAGGTGGCATCTTTGTTGGGAGTATCGTACAGGTTTTTGCAGGCCAGAGTGCTAGTGGCGGTCGCGGTAGAGGCGGTGGTTGACATGATGGCAAGTATTGAATGGGTCTCAGGTCTTCGAATGCAAGGGCTTGAAGGAAAAGAACATCGGTGAAGAGGATTGGGGAGAATAGAAAGAAGGTCCTATTTAAATGAGAGGGGCCAGCTTGTGTAAGGTTAACTTATAAATAATTGATTATCTAACATGACATTATTTTAGGCGCGGGTGCTATTTTTCGAGAAGTCTCGGATCTAATTTTGGTGACATGACTAACGCTCGTGTTCAGGGGAACCCGTCTCATGAAGCTGGTTAGTACTGTAAGTACGCTAAGCTTTTTTTTTTTAGTTCCACAGGGAGCCTGGATTTTGAGGCCATAGTAATAGTGGCAGAAGACTAGGATTCTATGAACGCTACAACCAGTATTGCCTGAAATAAAAGGGGAAAATGTAACATCGTAAGATGGACCTATAGCTACCTAGATTACAGGACATGCCTACATTCGTGTGTAATCAAAACAAGATATGGGAATGGCTGGTGCTCGTGGACATGGTCAACAGGTTTCACAGCTCACCTCTAGAGTTGATGAGATTTGAGGACCCGAGAGAAGGTCAGTTAATGGAGGAACTACCAATCTACATATTGGTGATAGCCTCATAACTTTTGACCTGGGGTAAATACAATGCAGTGAGCCTGAGCGAGGAGTGGATTGTCAAGTGCCAAGTTTGTTCATACCCTATACCTCCTTTCGGTGAAGAAAGGACACATAGTAAATTCGACCTCGCGATAAGGTTATCAACCGGATCTTTCTAGCAACTTAAGCCATCTTAAATTTTGTATGGCGTAGGATGAAAAAGCCAAGCTCTCAATTAGCAGGACCAGGCAGTAACGGCTGTAGCCACGAGCTGGTGGCTGGGGCCAACAAAAATACTTTTGAACCCCGGCTCCGAGGTCCGCACATGTTTGATCTTCGCATTCTATACAAGTGGGGGCTCTCACCGTGGAGAAGACGCCGTCGAAAGGTATGCCGTGCAGGCTGAGATTGACGGTCTTCTGGCTCGGTCATTCCTTACGGGCCAAGCTTCAAGTATGATAAATAACACACTGCGCAGCTGTAGAGACTCAGCATAGGCTGAATAAGACTGTAGATTTGCTCAAACTCACAGTCCATAATCAAAATTTGAGTCTCATGTCACCACTGTCAAGGACGTTGTGAACGAGAAGGAGCGAGAGAATGGGTCCTTCCGCTTGTCGCTAATTCAACCAGTCGTTGCTCCATGTCGGGGGGCGCTCCTTCCCAACATCCGAAGCGAAGACACCATGCACCCAACAAAATTTTCCCATTGAATTTTGTCGCTCACCAGACACACCAATTCACTGAATATCAGTTGATTCAGTTTTTTATCTTCAATATACCAACACCATGACAGATATCGCGCCTGTGGAAGATTGGAGCTGGGAATGCCCTGAAGACCCATGGCCCGCTGCTCCTCCTCCACCACCGCCTTTACCAGTGATGCACCAGGCTCCACTTAAGGAATTTTCGCGTATGTTCTCACCCATCCATGGATGTCTTTCAGTGCCATTGGCCTAACTAAATTTACTATATAGTTGAAGAATTCAAAGAAGAAACCGAGATCAGCTTTGCCATGGCCGAGGAATTCGCCCGCCAGTCAAGATATTCTGAAGTGGCTCCGCATCTGCGGTACTCCGAGTTCGATGTCACCATTCCCATCAAAGATCACTTGGAAGGTGACACGTGTCCCGTTGTGGGTATAGAATGCAAAGGGGCGAGGACTTGGAAGTCCTTGAAACGACACCTTCGCACCCAGAAGCACATGGTAAGCATCGTGTCACCACACATTCTTTCATACTAACCATGGAATAGGCATAGGAGCAAGCCCTGGAGCGAGAGGCTGTGAACAATCCTCCGGCACCAACACCCCAACCAACCTTCCGGCTTGTGCCAACCGTGTCCATATCTTTCTCGGCGCCAACCCCCGTCCCGAGCTCAGATGAACCAACACTGGGCAATGATTCTGGTGAGGAGATGGAGCTGGATGATCTAGAGACTCACATACCACCCTCATCTGAACTACCTTCGCTGGACAAGGAACGAGAAGTTCCCGACTCACAAGAGTCGCAGCCATGGAGTTAAGGACGGAATATGGGTACACCAGACTCTGAGCACATGTAGATGATGAGTGATAGACCCTATCATACCAATTTCTCTCCAAACCTGAAACTATCTACACTACGAACAAGCTCAAGGAAAGATACCGTCCATGATGTTCCGATTCCTCAACAAGACCCCTCCTACTGATGAAGGCAAGGCGCACTGAAAGAACGTGCGCGTGTTGGATGTGCTTACATAGCTTGCTGTACATCTCCCCTACCACTCAGATTGCTAGCTGCGATATAACCATGTGTCATCGCCGGTCCCAGTGTTGATCCCGCTCCAAGATACGTCCGTCCCATTATGCTCGCAGCTGTGTTACCGATAGCATATAATCCAAAAATCACACGTGAATCCTTATCCAACACACGCTGGAACTCATCCGTGAGGAGCCCACCCTTTGTTCCCAAGTCTCCGGGCCAAATCTTGATGGCGTAGTACGGCGCCTTATGAACAGGGGCCAGATTGGGATTGACTCCGGCGCTAGGATCACCAAAAAACTGATCATATTCGGAGTTTCCTTTGCCAAAGTCTCTGTCAATTCCCTCTCGAGACATGTGATTGAACCTCTCGGTAGTCTTGGCCAGGCCTTCAGGGTTCACCCCGATCTGTCTTGCTAACTCGTTGATTGTCGCAGCGCAGAAGATCCTTCCACTGGCTAAAGCCTCCCTTGGCGGCTTAACTCGGGCGAAAAGGCCACCAAGCATGTATTTGTTTCTGTGATTCGAGTCCATTATCAGCCAAGCGGGGATGGCCTTGACCTTCTGGTTTCTAGTGTATTGATCATGACCAGCATCGGTATATGACTGAGCCTCGTTCATGAACCGAGAACCAGAAGAGTCCACAATGAAGCAATGGGGTCGCGCCCGCTCAAAAAGAGCAAAACTCGGCATACCAGTGATAGGGTCCATGATAGTTGGTCCCCACCAGGCATCATCCATGAGAGCTGTTGCTGCACCAAGTCGCATGCCCTCTTGAATGGCATCGCCCGTGTCTCCCATGGGAGAGTTGGTCCACTCTGTGCTAACTGGCTTTGGCATGAACTGCTGTCGCATTGTTCGGTTGTGAGCAAATCCTCCAGCAGCAAGTATCACGCCCCGAGTTGCTCCAATGGTCATGAGGCCCTTGGAGGTTCTGACCTCCGCCCCTATCACCTCACCCATTGGCCCCTGGACCAGTTTTGAGAGACTTGCTCTCAAGCGAATATCCCCCCCTCCTTTCCTTAAATTGAGATAGAGAAGCTGCGCCACTAAGCCGCGCCCCATGCTTGTCAACCTCTGGCCAACAAGCGCTTTGGCTATGAGCGGGAGTATTTTCCAAGTTGCGTATACGAATGCGCCTATCGAGGACGTAAGGCGTGAGAATACTGCTGCATCGTTCGTATAGATGGCTGCGGGAATCCTGGAAGGAGGCAATTTCGACTCCCAGGCTCCGAGTTTCTTGGCATTGAAAGCTTTGGACTCGATCGTTCTGCCACCGCCTTTACCCATTGCTCCCTCCATGGGTGGGTAATAGTCAGGGTATCCTTTGCTGAAATGGAAGCGAAAGCCTTGTTGCCGGAGAAACTCGACCATCTTGGGTCCATTGGTGAGATAGGTTTGTCTCTTTGCCAGAGAAGAAGCTGGCCCTACGTCACCTACAGCTTGCTCGAAGTATTTCAGAGCATCTCGCTCCGAGTCTTCGATACCAGCCGCCTTGGATACAGGGTTGCAGGGGATCCATAGTCCTCCGCCCGATATGACCGATGCCCCGCCAATAGTCTCTTCTTTCTCAATGACGATATTGCGCAAGCCGAGAGTAGTAGCTCGCAGACTCGCCGTCAAGGCACCGGCTCCAGAGCCGACGATCAGCACATCGGTTTCCTCGTCAAAGATTGGCGGCCGGGGCTTGGGTGTGAGGTCCTTTGCGGTAGATAATAGTCGAAGATTCTGTCTGAGCACGGCCCGATGAACATTGCGACCACTATATCGTAGGAGCGGGAAGCTACGGGACCCCATGGCCAAAGTAGAAGATGCAGAAAAGGAGGGTGTATCGAGATGGAAAGTCGGGCATGAAGAGTCTTCGCATTCTCCAAAGGGCTTTCCAAGTAAAATATCATTCGCCAGTGGCTCCGCCCCTTCCCCGGATCTAACGGAGAGCATACTTCAACCAATCACGGCACTTTTGTAGTCGGTGTGCATGACCCTGAGCGGGAAACGTAGTTTCGGGCTCCGAGTCCCGCGGACTCCGGGGGCTCCTTGCCGCCATTCGCGACCGTATCCTCGCCCAAAGCGGGGTTATTTTATCCGGGCTTTGCCTCCGCCCACTGTTGAGTTGGTTCGGAAATGAAGGAACATGGAGCTTCGAAAGGCGACCTGCCGAATTCTTGGCCCATGAGATAAGTGACTCTTCGGGGATCAGAGATGAGATTGTTTAGTTGATGCGAATTATCTATGAAGCAAGAGTCCGGTCTACAAAGCCATTCCCTCGACACTAGGAGAAACCTCTCGGATACAACCGAATACTCGAATGATAACCGGAACCCGCGTGTGCCGCGTGTGCCGCGTGTTTCATGGCAATCGTCGCTATAGCGGGCGTCGAGCTCTGCCCACTACCTCTTTTAAGAAGCTAAAGATGGATAAGCCTTCAAGAAAACGTAGTTGAAAGCTCATGGCATCAAATTCTGCTCTGTACGTACGGCGATGGGCCCTGATAAGGCACACACACGTATCATGACTGCAGAGTACATGGCATGCGGAATCAATGGGAGTTTCTCGAGGGCTTCGGAACCGAGCTACGGGGTGAGAATCGATAGCACTACATAAGTTTGGGTAGCACAGTACAATGGATCAAGGCAGCTACATCTAGCATCAACTGCTAAATATGTAAGAATTCTGTCCCACCTCGATGTATAGTCGTCGGGATTCGACAGGTGGAGTGTGAACCGGCTGAGTGGCGGAGGTGAAGGCCAGCTGCTTTCAGCACTGCGTTGCCGAGGAGCCTGAGAACTCACGTTAACCTTTGCTGGAGATTATTGTATAGGGATTATGATGTGGGTGTTCTGGGTAGAAGTTGGAGCAGGCACAACGAGGACTGATTTCACAAAGCTGTGAGCCATGACCAGCAAAGCCGCGCCATGAAGATCAACTTGCAGTGCTGAAGGAGGGGCGCATTAAAGTCAAAAGTGTGTATCTGCACTCCATGAGTCAGCTGTAGAGAGACAGAGAGAGAGTTGGGAGCTCGCATTTCGTGCATTTCGCTTTTTAGTATGCCCTTTTCGGTCATACGTTTTGTCAGTGGGGCATATCGCTATTATTTGGTCAGGCAGTTGCTTCTATTGGTTGGCTCAGCAGGCAAGGCCGCGGAGAAGAACAAAAAGGTCAAAGAAGTCAAGACCGCGAGGGAGAAAACCCTAAAGCACCTAAAAGTATAGAACTTAGTTTAAGGTCTTAAGAAGCTAGTCTTTTAAAAACTTCCTTAGAAAGGCTCTAGGAATAGTTATAGTAGGGGGTATAAGCCCGTCTTATTAATCTCTTAATCTTAAGAAGTTAGAGTTTTTAGAAAGTTTATTATTATTATATCTTAAGAGGTTTATAGTAATAGCTTTATATATATAGGGCTATAATATTAAAGAGCCTAATAATATATAGTAATAAATATATTTAAAGAGGAAACTTGTAATACCCTTAATATACTTATTAAGATTATTTAAAACCTAATATTATAATTCTTTATAGTTATAACTAAGTCCTACTATTATAAGTTTTTAACTAGTTAGCTTATATACTTAGTCTCTCTCTACCCGCCTATTTAGGCTAGGAGAATAAGAGTTATATTACTATATTAATATATTATAGCCTAATATAGTCCCTATTATATGCCTAAAAACTTTCTTATAAAATATCTTTTAATCCTAGCTAATTAGAAATAATCTTATATTTTAAAGAATAATCTTATGCTATAAGATTTGTTCTTATATTATAATACCCTCTTAGTAATTATAAGATATTTATATATGTATATAATATTTATTATACCTTAGATAGATATTTAGCCTTTAAGTTATTAATAAATTTGAATTATTTTTAAGACTTTCTTAATTTATTACTAAGATATAATTCCCTTATTATATAATAATATTAAGACTTTTTATTAATAATAAACTTAATATACCTAATTTATTCCCTTAGAAAATACTAGATATTATATATTAATAGCTTTTTATTTAATATATTTTTATATTATATTATATAATATTTCTATTATTAAATAGTATATCTTTTAATAAATAAAATACCTTATTTATTAGATCTTTTATTAAAGGATTATTACTTTATAATAAGATATTATTAAATATTATTAAACTTATAGCTAAAATCTAATAGCTTAAAGGTATAATTAATTAACTTTAG